GGGTTTAATTTGCAAACTGCAACCAAACTTTTTTGCCTAATTGAAACAGCTGGGTACATTGATGCTGCAACATTTGATGAACAAAGTGATCTTTTCATCTACTTCAAATGAATAGCTACTCATTTCTTTTTCTCTCTACTTTTTAGGTACCGCCCATTTGTCCCACACATTCCATTTGATTTTTATGTGGTAAGTGATTATTGTGCCAAAGTAGATGGGCTGTTGCAATCAAAAATGACATGTTTGAATATATGCCTGGACAATTATTTTAGACCAATATTGCAATTTTTTTTTGGATGATAATCAAGTCTGTTTTACACCCAGGTTTCAGTTTTTCCAGTCCTTAAAAGCCTGCTTGTCCAGTTTTGCAGGACTTTACTGTTAAACCTGCACAAACAAGTTCTTTCTTCTACTAGATTGCATTAATCTAGGTGTTAGCTGCACATCTGTCCTCCCTTCTGTGCTGTGCATGCCCACTATAATCGTATTACTGCCACCTAAAGGGCTGGAAGGAGACATTTAGTGTTTTACTATAGTTAAATGTGTCTGCAATTTCATAATTGCATTTTTTTTAAATTACAATTGTGTGGCAATTGCAATTAATTTCCCAGTCCTATTTGAATGTTAAAGTTGGAAGAGATACTAAAAGTGAATTTTGGTGAAATCAGAACTGTATAGTGAATGTCTGTCACATTCTACAGAGACCTGTAGACGGCCACATGCTGTTAGCGTTCCGCCCTGCTCACAATCAATGAGATCTGTTCCAAACCCACCACAACTTTTCCGCCACACCAAAAACCGTTTACATACGTCCGTCACAATACGGAGCCGAGCCAGTTTTTGCTCCGGTCTGGCCAGGTCAAGATCCGTGATTGCAATCGCACCAAACAGTAAAAAGAACGGTGAGAAGATCCAGTTCATCAACTCAAAATACTGTAATGTTAGATCGGTAACTACAAATTAGAGCATAATCCTTATATATTCCCAAAATGAAGACCGTTTGATTAAATGACTGGATGCAAACTATTGGTACTTCAACATACCAGGAAGCAGATTTCTCATCTCGATCAAAATATTTCTCTTATAAGGCTTAAAAGGCTGATAAAATCATTTCACAAGAACTTCCAAGAGAGCATCTCACTACTTCCAAAGAAACTCATGGATTGATGAAGAGATGCTGAGTTTGGAAGTAAAGAACAAGCCAATTTATTATGATCCTCGTTATCCCTGTTACAAAAATCCAAAACAAAAAGAAAATATTTGGGCAGAAACTGAACCTATGCTGGATTCTGATGGGAATTTATTTAATGTCAT